GGTTAATTTGAACTGAAACTTAGATACAATCTGAGGACACCTGAGATTTTTTTAAAAGAGGCATAATAGGTCCCCTTTAAAATCTGATTAGAAATGCGATTTGAAATCTAAGATAAAACCTGTATCAAAATCTAGGACAGTATCTACAATAAGGGAGGAGTATGATCTTGTAGTTGATGCAGCTGGACTGAGATTAGTGTAAAGTGGTCACTAACATGACAAACACAAACTGAGTTTCAGTCTAGTAGTGAGTGGTGGAATTAGAAAAGTAATGCATAACTTTCCTCAACGAGCTTGACTATTTGAGATGTCATTCATGTCTGTAACACAAATGGATGCTCTACATTGTTGTCTGATCAGCATGACAGCATTATTTGTCATTGTCAATCAAAAACAGAGTGATGGTATGTTGCCCAACTCCTTACTCTAGATGAATAAATGTTTTATCCTCTCCATCTACAGACAGAGGGCAGTCAGAGCAGCTCTGAGTGCTTATGAGAGCTCAACTTGTTATCTCAGAGTGAGCAAGTCACGGAGAGTGAAAGACAATGGAGCCATCAGCTAACACACTCTGACAAGCCACCCTTCAGAAGGGTTAATAGACTCCAACCTAGTGTTTTAAAGTGTGTGTGTGACAGAAAGAGATTGAGAGAGCGAGAGAGACACGGTCATCAAAACGGACATCTTATGAACTGACACCTGCATTTCATCACTACAAACACACACACGCACACACCCTAATGTATTATTCACTGCGGTGACCACTAGGGCGGCATTCCCCTGGCAGTCCCCAACCGCAGGGATGAGAGGATTAAACATTTAAAAGCGCATGACAAAATGGAACAGAATGAATAAATAAACTGAAATGGCCCCTGGATGCACAGTCAGCATGTGCCACGCGCATACACCTATCCATGCCACACAACTACAGTGCTGAAACTAAAGTGACCCATAATGTCATACCGATAGCAACAGAAACAACAGCTATAACAGTTTTTCTCTCTTTTCAAAATGCAATAGGGTAAAGTATGTGTGATCATTATTTAGCTATGAGACCTAGTGGTGTGGTCAAGCTTTGCTGTGAATACTAAATGGCAGATGACCTTGAATGGGGCAGACCTGCTAGCAATTCATGTTCATCAGACAGGGCTGAGACCTCACCCATAACTGTGTTCGAAACGTCCATTTCATCTTCCACCAATCACGTACTTCTCTGAAGGGAACCAATTAGACTGAACATGTGGCTATCTTACATAGACGTGTTACAAGAGTGCTTAAGAGACAATAAAATATTTGAACCAGGCAAATGTTTACAGTAGGGATGCACCAACATTAAAATTCTGACTACAAGCTGATGATTATTCATGTTAAGGCCAAGAACTGAAAAATGGCCAATGTTAAAATTCTACTTTATTTTGTCTAAATAAATATAGTATAAAACAATAAATCATTTTAAATGCTACAAATACATTTTCATAGTTAAGTGAGAATTACGTGGCAGCAAAGGCCATCTATAAAAAAAAAAAAAGTTAAATATGAGCAAGCACAATTAAATAGCCAATATTGACCTTTACCAACCAAACAAACAAAACACATGCATATATACATAAATATTGGCTGATTGATTGTGGATCCCTTTTTTGCAGTGGTTCTCAACTGGTGGGTTGTGACCCAAAAATAAGCCGCAGGACTGTTAGGGTCACAGATAATGGGGTGGGGTGGGGAGTATGCTAAATACAATTAATACAATAAAATACAAGAGAATGTATTTACCATGTATTTTTGTTGCTGGCGACAAAAGCTGTGTGTCCAATCGAACTCTACACATTATTTATGCAAATTCCACTGTCAAGAAACCAGCCAAATTAAGAAGAGTCCAACACAAATAGGTTGTGTGACATTCCTGAATAGAGAAAACTGGAATATTAAAAGGTTTCAGTGTTTGATTTTAAGAAAATGTTTACAATTTTTGTAAAGTTCTGGGTTTCCACTTGACACCTGATGGGGAATCTGGGTCCTGAAGCAAAACCAGTGGACAACTACTGCTTTATGGCATCTTCTATACGTTTTGTGTGCAGTTTCAGTAGGTGTGTAGGAGTCTGTTATTTGGATGGGTGTAGTTGTGTGTTAGCTTTCAGCGTGTGTGTATGTTGATCCGTAGGTGTGTGTTTGTGGGTGTATGTAATTGCGTGTCTTTGTGTCTGTGTGTGCGTGTGGGTGTGCGTCCATAATTGTGTGTGTCCTCCTTATCTGTTCTCCTCTCCTTTAGTTCATTGGCAGACTAGCTGAGCTCAAACTGTTCAGCTGCGACTGGTCCAAGCCCAGTAATTACAGCTTGTCAGAAAGAATTAATTTTCTCATTTCTCATAAAGATGTGTAAAAATTACCATGTTATTATACACCGACACTCTCCAGAGGCACACACCAAATTTAATTTAGAATTCTTCCCGCACATTAAATTAAATCCATAAATAAGAGTTTAGGCATTGGTAGGGAAGCATATGTTCGTTAGGCCAAGCAGGCTGCTTGGGCCTGCGCTAATGTCTATTGTAATGTTTTAATAGCTTGTGCCTTCTAAGCACCAATAAATTTATATGATCACAACAGGCGACGTCGAGCGCACGGCCAATTAGGAGTGCCGACGCCGCCACTGCTGCTGCTGCCCTCAGGAGGAAAGAGAGGTGGGAAAACTGGAGGAGAGAGAGAAACAGACAGACACAACTGGCTATCTGGATCTCTTATACATTTAAAAAAAAAAATGTAAATATATATACATACATTTCAAGTTTTTGATATGATGTTTTGGAGATGGATGGATGGATGGATGGATGGATGGATGGATGGATGGATGGATGGATGGATGGATGGATGGATGGATGGATGGATGGATGGATGGATGGATGGATGGATGGATGGATGGATGGATGGATGGACGGACGGACGGACGGACGGACGGACGGACGGACGGACGGACGGACGGACGGACGGACGGACGGACGGACGGACGGACGGACGGACGGACGGACGGACGGACGGACGGACGGACGGACGGACGGACGGACGGACGGACGGACGGATGGACGGACGGATGGACGGACGGATGGACAGACTAGGGTGAGGTAGAGGCATATGAAAAATTTACAAAATTGGAACATGCTTTGTTCAAAATGCTCTATGAAATCTCCCCTCTTTTTCATATTATTGAATATTTTAGGCAAATTTAAGTATGCTTATAGCTAACAACTATAGTGTAGCTAAAAGAGTTTAACTAAGTTTAAATCCATTCAACATACTTCCCAAAATTACCACAGAAAAAAAAACCTATATGGGCCTATATGTCATCAAAATAAAATCATTAAAATCCTTTTGGCAGGTATATGCTCTATCCCAGAAAACAAAAGTCAAGCAGCTTGATAAAAGTTTGCAGTTGTCAACTGAACAATGTTTTGTAAGTGCTTAGAGGCTCCAGAGTCATTAGGGACTGGGGACAGAGCCATGATTTCTGGATCAGAGCGCATCATGTCATCGTCTATATCAGGCATCTACAAATGAAACGCAACATCAATCAGACAACTATTTATAGTGCAGATAAAAGACAAATCTAACACTAATAAACGTGTTTGTTGCCTGCCCAAACTCCATGTACTTTACAGGGATGCCCACAGAGAAAAATAAAGAGATACAGTGAGGAGGTGGAGACAGTAAAAGAGACACACAGAAAGAGGGAGAGGATGGTTGGTTGGAGATGAAGGCATAGGAATGGTGGATCTCGCTGCGAGGGGGCACAGGATGGCGGTCTCCCACTGGCATGCCGCATAGACAGTAGGAAGTCATACGCAGACTCACACACAGTGGGCAGTGCCACAGTCAGAAAGACGGAAATAGACAGAACTCACACATACCGCCAACTGAGTCTCATAGGCTTCATGAAATATGACTACAAGCTGCGAGACAGCGGCCACTCTGACACACTCAAGCCCGTCTGTGATACGGTCCCACACACACAGACATGTATGGCACACATACATGACAAAGACGCCCACCAACAGCCCCAAACACAGATGAACAGACACACAGCCCCTTCTCCAGAATCCATTCGCGCACACGCACACACACACACACAAGCAAAACCAGCCCCCTGATGGCGCTCATAGGTGAGTTGAAGTGTGTGAACGCTGGGGCTGAGGAACATATGTTGTCCAAAGAGCCAGGAGGCAACGTCTATTACATGATCAGAGCTTTCAGAGTTCATTACTGAATTATGTGTGCCACCATAAAAGCATTTGGACACACACCACACTTCTTTAACGTGTAGTCGAGAAATACAGATATATATTTTTTCCTGCTTCCTGAAAGCAAATACAGTGTATAAATGGCTATTTGTACAGTATATCTTCAAAATTTCTATACATCAAGTCATGTGTGACGTATTTTTCTCTCTTTTTTTTCCTTTTGCATGTTTGGATGGCAGTATATAAGAAAATAAGAAAAATAACTTATAAAAACATATAAAACTGTATATAGTTATAAAACATTTAAATTAATTTATAACATTTAGTTAACTGATATTTGTCTTAAATACAATTTAATACTGATTAAATAGTATATTTAAGGAACAGTAAGATTTTACTAATACAATGAACTGCAAAAATGTACATTTATTTTTACTTTACATTTTTTGTCTGCCATGGACAAGTGGCACAGGGCGACAAGGTGAATAATACATTTTTAAGAATCAGTCAGTGGTAAAACCTACATAGATTATCAACCACCCTTAATAACGGTGGTTACGGCCATTTACTATGTGTCCAAATACATTTGGAACACTGTACACCCTCACATCAGCAGACAATCACAAGACGACACCAAATATTACTGCTTTGCTTTAGTTGTCAAAGAGTAACAGGCTATGAGGATACATAATGTCTGTAACAATGACCAAAAAATGAAAGCACTGGGAACGTTTATAAGAGCCTTTTGCAGATGCAAATATTACATACCAGTCAGTTGTGTTGAGGCTTCTTGTGGTGAAAAGGTTTTGTTCTTGTATCTGCTTCTACCTGAACAAATCGAACACAAAAAGAACAAGTTAGAAACTTCACCCAGGCTCTCCAGCCCTCTCAACACTGAACATTTCTCTGCTTGAAGAGGTTTGTTTGATGGTGGAACAAAAGTATTAAACTTTGTTCTGCCAAGCTGAGTGTTGCCTTGAAACTATACTTTTGCTTTGTTTTAACTTCTCCCCCAACAGGAGAACTTCTGCACCTCAAAGACGGACATTGTGTAGACTTTTCTGTCCATAAACAACTTGAAACACTCATAATCCACTTCACAGAACTTATCATTGCATCTGTAAATTGTACAGTACTTAAAATGTCACGTCTAGAGTTTATGAGTGTAAGCATGCAGAATAGAGAGGATTCTCTCAGCTTTATCAGAACTCTTGGCAAGCTCTGATTCTCCTCAACAAACCCGGCGCTAAGTCTTATATCATCCTTCTTAGAACTAAATTGGTAAACCATGTCATTTGTGAGTAGTTTTGGAAGATTTAGACCACTGTCCCCTTGCTAACAGATCAAACCAGATGAGATTTAGGAGACACAGTTGTATATGTATTCACTGGAACATTGCAGGGACGTGCTGGAGAGACATGGTTGTATAGTCTAAGAGAACATTGGGACCTTTCATTACATGAGCTGAGCCTCATTGTAAGTTTCTAATCTTGCACGCTCCCGTATATAATCCGCAGAGAAAACTTGGATGTCATCATCCAAGTTTAGCGTGCAGCGTGAAGTCCTCAGTGAGGTGGAAATGGAACATGATTGAACGGCTAAACCTCGGATGAACATACATGGAACTCTTTTAGGTCGGTCACGTAACCAAGATTCTTGCGAATTGGGGCCAGTGGTTCTCCGATCGCTAAGATGCGTCGGACCACCCTGGTGCTATACCCGAGGGGGGAGGGTTTACACTCAGAGGATTGTGGAGATGTCTGTACAACACATATAGATGAATTTGAGCCCACAATAGAACAATAGACAGCAGGATTCGAGATAATTCTCAACACTGTAACTATGTGTGGTTGTGTCTGTATGATGGGTGTGACTATACTACACTGGACTAAACTATAAACGCAACACTTTTGTTTTTGCCCCCATTTTTCATGAGCGGAACTCAAAGATCTAAGACTTTTTCTATGTACACAAAAGGCCTATTTCTCTCAAATATTGTTCACAAATCTGTCTAAATCTGTGTTAGTGAGCACTTCTTGTTTGCCGAGATAATCCATCCACCGCACAGCATGATTATTGCACAGGTGTGCTTTAGGCTGGCCACAATAAAAGGCCACTCGAGAATGTGCATTTTTACTCTATGGGGGGTGGGGTGGGGGGGGGGGGTTGTTGGGGGGACCAAAAAACAGTCAGTATCTGGTGTGACCACCATTTGCCTCACGCAGTGCAACACATGTCCTTCGCATAGAGTTGATCAGGTTGTTGATTGTGGCCTGTGGAATGTTGGCCCACACCTCTTGTGAAGTGTGTGAAGTTGCTGGATATTGGCAGAACCTGGAACACGCTGTCGTATACGCTGATCCAGAGCATCCCAAACATGCTCAATGGGTTACACGTCCGGTGAGTATGCTGGCCATGCAAGAACTGGGATGTTTTCAGCTTCCAGGAATTGTGTACAGATCCTTGCAATATGGGGCCGTTCATTATCATGCTGCAACATGAGGTGATGGTCGTGGATGAATGGCACAACAATGGGCCTCAGGATCTCGTCACGTTATCTCTGTGCATTCAAAAAGCCATCAATAAAATGCACCTGTGGTCATTGTCCATAACATACGCCTGCCCATACCATAACCCCACCGCCACCATGGGCCACTCGATCCACAACGTTGACATCAGCAAACCGCTCACCCACACGACGCCATACACGCTGTCTGCCATCTGACCTGTACTGTGAAAACCGGGATTCATCCGTGAAGAGAACACCTCTCCAAAGTGCCAGACGCCATCGAATGTGAGCATTTGCCCACTCAAGTCGGTTACGACAACAAACTGCAGTCAGGTCGAGACCCCGATGAGGACGACGAGCATGAAGATGAGCTTCCCCGAGACGGTTTCTAACTTACGACATCTGTGGCATTGCTGTGTGATAAAACTGCACATTTTAGAGTAGCCATTTGTGGCCAGCCTAAGGCACACCTGTGCAATAATCATGCTGTCTAATCAGCATCTTGATATGCCACACCTGTGAGGTGGATGGATTATCTCGGCAAAGGAGAAGTGCTCACTAACACAGATTTAGGTAAATTAGTGAAAAATATTTGAGAGAAATAGGCCTTTTCTGTACATAGAAAAAGTCTTAGATCTTTGAGTTCAGCTCATGAAAAATGGGGGCAAAAACAAAAGTGCTGCGTTTATAATTTTGTTCAGTGTATATAAGCATTAAAATTACCTTAGAAGGTTTTTAGGATCATAAATGAATTTATAATATATTCAAATAATATAATTATAAATATAGTCATTATAAATGTTCATATGTATATATATATATGAACATTTATAATGACTATATTTATTATTATATGATTTTAATATATTATAAATGAATATACACTCACCGGCCACTTTATTAGGTACACCTGTCCAACTGCTCGTTAACACTTAATTTCTAAGCAGCCAATCACATGGCGGCAACTCAGTGCATTTAGGCATGTAGACATGGTCAAGACAATCTCCTGCAGTTCAAACCGAGCATCAGTATGGGGAAGAAAGGTGATTTGAGTGACTTTGAACGTGGCATGATTGTTGGTGCCAGAAGGGCTGGTCTGAGTATTTCAGAAACTGCTAATCTACTGGGATTTTCACGCACAACCATCTCTAGGGTTTACAGAGAATGGTCCGAAAAAGAAAAAACATCCAGTGAGCGGCAGTTCTGTGGGCGGAAATGCCTTGTTGATGCCAGAGGTCAGAGGAGAATGGCCAGACTGGTTCGAGCTGATAGAAGGGCAACAGTGACTGAAATAACCACTCGTTACAACCGAGGTATGCAGCAAAGCATTTGTGAAGCCACAACACGCACAACCTTGAGGCGGATGGGCTACAACAGCAGAAGACTCCACCGGGTACCACTCATCTCCACTACAAATAGGAAAAAGAGGCTACAATTTGCAAGAGCTCACCAAAATTGAACAGTTGAAGACTGGAAAAATGTTGCCTGGTCTGATGAGTCTCGATTTCTGTTGAGACATTCAGATGTTAGAGTCAGAATTTGGCGTAAACAGAATGAGAACATGGAACCATCATGCCTTGTTACCACTGTGCAGGCTGGTGGTGGTGGTGTAATGGTGTGGGGGATGTTTTCCTGGCACACTTTAGGCCCCTTAGTGCCAATTGGGCATCGTTTAAATGCCACGGCCTACCTGAGCATTGTTTCTGACCATGTCCATCCCTTTATGGCCACCATGTACCCATCCTCTGATGGCTACTTCCACCATGTCACAAAGCTCTAATCATTTCAAATTGGTTTCTTGAACATGACAATGAGTTCACTGTACTAAAATGGCCTCCACAGTCACCAGATCTCAACCCAATAGAGCATCTTTGGGATGTGGTGGAACGGGAGATTCGCATCATGGATGTGCAGCCGACAAATCTGCGGCAACTGTGTGATGCCATCATGTCAATATGGACCAAACTCCCTGAGGAATGCTTCCAGCACCTTGTTGAATCTATGCCACGAAGAATTGAGGCAGTTCTGAAGGCAAAAGGGGGTCCAACCCGTTACTAGCATGGGGTACCTAATAAAGTGGCCGGTGAGTGTATATATATATATATATACACATACACACACATATATATATACACAAATTAATTAAAAATAGCCAATTACTTTAGTAGGCAAAAGAAAATTATGTGTAGGCCTACATGTATAATATGACTAATGGGCTCTATGCACGGCGTTATTTCCGGTGAAGGTCTAAGGATGCTGGATTACTTCCGCCGATCGTAGAGTCCAATGCTATACCGAGAATTTATATTGGTTTTTATACTCTATTGCTATACTAAAGAAACGTTAGTCACAAAAACAGACAAAACAGACACCCCTCATTTTGTTTATGCTTCTTTGTTTATTATATTAAATAAACATAACTATATATAAAATTACATCTAAACGTATTAAAGTTTCGTTTCAAAGACGAGAGGACAGTACATTTTGAAGACTCTGCCATAATCCCGTTTTCCTCAGTTTTCCTCCGCTTTAAATCTCCCCAACCGGAAACGCAAGAGCATCCTTGCATCAAACGCGGAAGTTATGCGTGCATATAGCCCATTACATGCTATATTATAAGCATTATCATCACAGAAGATTTTTAAGATAAGAAACTAATTCAGAGAAGTGTGTCCAAACTTTTGGCTGGTAGTGTAAATATGTGGATGAGTACATTAGACACAAACTAGATATAATGGCTGTGCTTGGAGCTAGGTAGGAGTGTGTGCATGTTTGCTTATCTGTGTGTATGTGTATATCTATCCTACAAACGTGTGAGTGTCAGTGCAGGGCCCCTGCTTAAAGCACGGTCTTATTTACTCCTGTCAGCCCATAAAGCCAGCCTGAGTGCCACGCTGATTGAAATCCCCTTTTGTGTGCTAGTCTTCAGTGATGTGGCTTTTCTCTCGGCCTCGTCTCATGATGGAAGCCTGTACTGTTAATCTGAGAGTGTCCACTGAAAGGACGAAATGAGTTCCTGGGCTGAATGCACTCTTTAACTCATCTGTCTTGGTCTATTCAGACGTGGGGCGTGAGAGCTGGCGGCTAACACCTCCACAACAATACACGACAAAGCAATGCAAACCTTCCTTACACAAACTACTCTGTCTCTAGGAGACTCCTTTTTCCCACATTATCTTACTCACAAAATAGTGATAAGTAACATTATTTAATAAACCATTAATTAGAGCATATTTCTGTATTACAAGGGTGAAATAATAAGGTACTGTACAGGTACAAGAATAAGGTAACCCTAAAGGAAAACTGTTTGCACTTTTCC